AGGGCCTTCAGCACGAGAACGATGTCCTTTACGGTTAGGTCAAGGTAACTAAATGTCACCGAGACCGTAGCGTGCAATGGCGGTATTTGACTCGCCAACCAGAAAACCATTTGATTGGTTGAAAAGAAAGGTCCTGAATCAGCTGAATTGGTGATTTACACTTCACCTTGATTCACTACTCGCACTGTATTCTGTTAAAATGGCACAGGCACTTCTGGTCTACACGATCGCCTGAGATAAAGTGAACGATAGCCGTTCTATAAGCATCGCAGAACCCTTCAGCTCATCACCCGTGACTCCGTGTCACCATTTTGCCGCGGCCATGTGCGCCTTATTCAGCAGTCGGCCGTTAAGCATGGCCGTATCGTCTGCCCAGTGGGTTTCACCGCAAGTGTTACACAAATTTATTTGAATGCTCGATCACATGGTGTATATTTAAAATATTGTATTGAACCTTTGTAACAGAACCGTTACAGCATCTTCAAACGTACACTGTTCTCTATATTTTTTAATCGCAGTTCGTACCGGTCCGACGCTTACACCCTCTTCCTTGGCCAATTTTCTCACGGAGAGTCCGCTCACAGTGCACCATTTGTGCACGATACTTTTTCGTTGTTCCGGAGTAAGACCACGCATTTTGACAGGAAACACAAAACTCTGAGCACTTTTTTGATGCTTTGTCATTCAGAAATGAGCAAACAAAAGGACGCAGCCAAAACATGTTGAAATATGTCATTATATTCAAAGTGACCGTTAAAATAAGGTGTGCTTATACTTTCTGGAACAGTCTATACATTTGATCTGGTTCTGAAAATATCGGGGGTTTAAGATGAGAAAAGTGGGTTCGGGGTCACCTCGAGGCTCTGGAGAACAACGAAAGTAGAAAAGCACTTCTCCAAAATTTCTAATAACCTCGTCAGAGGCTAAAACTCTAGAACGGTAAGAGATAGAGAGAATGTTATACCATAATTCGATGCAGAAAGAAATTTCCATCTCAAGACCATAGGACTGCATCTAAGGGCATTGGCATAACTAAGGAAAATCATAGGAACGGCTAAGTTTATTTTTCGAACTCCTCAATTAGTTTTTTTTGCAAATTATCTCATACACATGTGTTCTTTCGAACATTTTTATTATGATGTTTTTAGTGCAAATATCATGTAAAGTGGAAAAGAATTATGTTTCTGGATCTCTGACTAAATTTAATTTAATATCATTAAACATTTTTAGCGCTCTGAATCAATACAAAATCGAGACCTTTTAAATAAAAGTTAAACACGAACAAATCCGGACACATTAAAAACGTTGCCACAAAGGCATTTTTTGAGATTTTTTTTCAAAATTTCACTGAATCAAGCTAAGAGTGTATAGAATCACAGTAGGCATTACTGAAAACCAATTTACATCATGGCTTCACCGCCGCAAGCGCGTCTCGATTCGTTCCTGCACACTCCAAACGAAAATCCCGGTTCATCCGCTCCTGGCAGTTTTCGATCAAATTTCTGGCAAGGAATTTTATTCCTCGGTTGACCGGAAGAGTGCCCCGGAAGAATGTAAAATAAGTAAGAAGTCGAAATTCCCCAAAAAGTTCCTTGTCTGGCAAGCAATCTGCAGTTGCGGGCTGAAAAGCGAAACTTTAGTTACTTCTGGGACCACGAACCAGGAAATTTACCAGGAGTAGTGCCTACGGAAGAGACTACTGCCTTTTCTGGAGCAGTTTAAGGTGGATTGCCTATTCTGGTCGGACTCGGCAAGCTGCCACTAGTAAAGTGGGTGCAACTTACCCCATCATCTAATACGTGATGCTTTACTAGCGAGGTTCATTTATTTTTCAATAGGGCGGTCCAAAGAAAAACGTATATTTGCGTAATGATCTTTAAAATTATCTGGAAATTGAGATATCCATCTTCCATAAGAGCAACACTATTATTTAATTTTCATCCATTGATTTAATTCTATATCTAATATTTAATTCCATTTTTGTCGAATCGGTAGATAAGCTGTTTTATCTTAAGCTGAATCTTCTAGAGGACCATCCCGTAGTCCCTAGTGTCCATATTCTAGTCACAACTCCGAATTCATTCTGATAAAACGCCTATGAGTGGTTTCGAAAAATTCGCTGAGCTCTAGGATCAGTTTCATGAATTGACTGCTTTTAAGGATGTTCCGGATCTTCCGGTGGACCATCCTGTAGTGTGCCCAGAGTCCAAATTCCAGTCAAAACTTCGAAGTAATTGTAATAAAACGTCTATGAGCGGTTTCGAAAAAAAACACGGAGCTCTAGGATCAGTTTTATGAATTGACCACTTTTATGGATGTTCCGGATCTTCCAGTGAACCATCCCGTGGTTCATTTTTCGGTCACAACTCCGAATGAATTCAGATAAGGTGGCTATGAGTGCTATAACCACGTAGCTCTAGGATTGAATTCATGAATTGATCAATTTTGCGGATGTTCCGGGTCTTACAGAGTACCAGACTTCTGACTTTCCGGATGCAAATTTGTCCCAAAAGAAAGTCATCTATCTTGTTAATAACTTTCCAGAAGACACTAGGAAGTTATCTCTTCAAATTACCATACAATAAGTGTTTGTCCCCAATTAGCTTTAATCCCATATGCTACGTGTATTCGTTAATTCCGGTTCCTATTGTGCGGTCCCCCGTAACCATACTATAGGAATCTTGACTGTATTTAAATTTTCAGATTAATTTTGTGATTCTTCGTAGATTTTTTTTATAGTCAGATAGATTCAATTTTCTATGTTTTAAAGTGAATTTTTAATTTATTTATAAGTTGATAATTGAATATATGTTTTCCACACAATCTCCAAAAATGCGTGTTCGGTGAAAGATCTTCATTTTCAAAAGTGCTCCGTTGCCTTAAAAGCTTGAGAACCCCTGCCCTAAAGGCTGGATCGTTTAGAAATGGGGCACTTTCAAATGCATGTTGAACTGGACTTCATTGTCGTTGTACCATTGTAGCAAGTCCTTGCTGTAATGGCAGCTGGCTAGATCTGGCCAAAACGTAACTGGACCATCATGGGGCTAATGAAGGGTAGAATCCGTTTTTGGAGCCACTCCCTTTTGTATACTTCCGAGTTCATAGTCTTATCCGTCACAAAAACACCTGTTTTCTTGCCATGGAAACAGATCCCTTGCCAAAATCGCTAGGTTTCATCGTCGTCACAGCCATCGAGTGTCGTCAGCACCTGGTCTCACAGCTTACGGGCCTGGATCATGGCCACTGTTTGTTGATGGAGGCTTTGGTTGGGCTGTTTACTTGCTCGGTAACATTTGCAGCCTTCTCGGAGACGGATTTCCGCGCAGTACAGTGGTCAGCATTCAGTTTTCTCGCCAAATCATAATCCGAGCAATTGGGATCAATCTTGATTTTTCGAATAACCTTCAACCGTAGTAGATGAGGATAAATGGTTCCACTCCGGCGCTTTGTTTGCACTTTGGGGGCAGATATGCGTGTTTCCTTGTACTTTTTAATCCCTCTAATTTCTTTTTTTTTTAAGATTATCCAGCAGTTTGGCCAGTTCTTGAGTTGACGCTCATGGACTTTGGAGGTAACTGTGCACAATTATTTTTTTCTTTTCTCCTCCTGCACAGGGCTGGCAAATGTAATTTTCAATGAAAAATCTCACGCGATATTTACAGAGATACTTCTGTCACTATCACCGGATGAGAAAACGATGATAGAGATTTTATGCAAAATTTCATCGAATTTTTTGTCATGCCAGAACGTGACAGTGTTGTGATCATCGTAATGACTAGCTCATTTATTGCTATTAAAGTTACTTGTGCCGAGGAAATCGTAATAATATATTCACTCTACCGATTACATACGATTGACTGCCTAAATTCATCTAAATCAGTTAGAAATGTTGATATCAAAGCCTCATAAGAATTATTCTCATGAGTGCTTGATCATTGAAAAATGAAAAGAAAGCTAATGATAGGTAGTTTCGTCTCGTGATAGTGAGAAGACCTGTTTTCTCATTGTCATATGATGGTCGTGATATTTACCAGCTCTGATCCTGCATGATGAATATCTCGGAACTACGTTAGTTTTAAACTTTGTAAAAAAAAGACCGAGCATAACTGTTTACAAACAGCAAAACGCTGTCAAAAGCTTGTATATCCGACCACTGGGAGGGTCGCTATCGCAAAAATGAAGTGCCCCATTTCTAAATGATCTAGCCTTTAGTATATCACAGGGTACACAGCAAAAAAAAAAAAAAGTTTAATTGTGATGTAAACATTCATTCAGGTAATTTGTGTTTAATTTCACGCAAAGGAGTAGCCGGTATGAAATTTTGTTTACAAAGATGGGCATTGGTATACAATATTTGCAACTGTTCATGAAATTTTGCATTTACATAGTATGTAGACTTATATGATGTGTCACGCTCCATTTATGTGCATCATATTGGACAGAAATTTACACTACTTTTTCGAACTGTGTAGTCCTATTGTGAAAAAGTGGAACATGATTGTGCATTCGGTACCAAACTGGACAAGTAATCGCGTTTTCACCTAAAAAAAATATTATAAAAGTGCACATTTTCACCCAATTGTTTTGGCATCTTTGGTGCGCCTATTCCTTACGAAGCATGCAATAAGTGCACCGAAGACACCAAAACAATATTACGGAAACGAGAACTTTTATTACACTTTTAGCATTTGTTTAGTAGTCCAGTTGCAATCAACAATAAGAATACGAGCATATCTAGCAACCTCATTGAGGCGATAACTAGCTTGTCTACAAGATAATAATTTTACTCATGTTAACTCTAACCTAAAAGGAAAGAAATTCCATGCAGTGAACCACTCAGAACAGAAAATTCCGGATGAATGATGGAACTGATTTTCAATCTGCTTCCAATCATATGAAGACTGCGTGAATTTTCCCATGTTTATGTACCTTTCCTCGATTTCGCTCGGTCGGAAAGCAATAAAACAAATAAAATAAAATAAACCGTTTCCGATTAACAGTGCCGCCAATATCCAGCGATATAAATAAGCAATGTAAACACAGTTGGAGGAACATCATAAATCGGCACAAGGAGAGTGCGGACGAAGGAAAATAAAAATGAATGCGAAGCCGGTTGTACCGTCGGTGATGATGATGGTTCTAGCAGATGCTGGCATAAATCTCGAGACTCAATCTGCGAGCATGGCGGCTTCGGCGGCGACGGCGGTGGCATGAGTTTTAGTGCAATAATTGGCTGTAGTAGTGTTGACCGAACAGCAGTGGATAGTGGGATCAAAATTTCCATTTAACGACCTTGAATCGGCAATCATACGGAATTGCTGGAATTGGCAACAAATCAGAAAAAAGAGTGTGTGACATTGGGTAGAATAGTGTGGCAGTCATTTGAAAGAAAAACCGTTCAGTTGTGAAGTGGAAAGTGGCTTACAGAGCAGTGCAACGATGGCCGTTCATATTATGGACGAGGATCACTTCGCAATCAGTGCAATCGTGACGGTGGCAATGCAGATTATATTCTTCCTGATCGCTGCCATTTTTCAGTTGGATAAGCTAACGGATTTTGCGGGTGGAGTAAACTTTATCATCATTGCCTTGTTGACCTTTTTTTTGGGTCAAATCGACAGAACATTGAAGGTGAGTTTATGCTAAGAATGTAGTGTTTATCGAATATGATAACATAATTAGTTAATACACATCAACAAATTCTTAATTTCAATTGCTATGTAAACTTGTATTTCATTTCACGCAAACGAGCAACTTAGGTTTTTGTATACAATTAGGTTTTTATATACAATATTTGCAACCTTTCATGAAATGTCTTAGAACTTAACACTTATTTGATTATTAAACTTATTTGATTTGTGATGCTCCATTTATGTGCTTGTACTTTTTTGAACTATGTACGTGATGATTTAACTACAAAAGTTTTGTATTACATTTGTCTAAATTTAAATATAAAGCAGTCCTTTTAGAAATGGAACATCGTCATCGCATGTAACGTAAGATCACCAGCAAACCGACATGAAACTTAATCTTAACTCTTGATCGAGAATCCATAACGCCCAATTCAAATGTGCAGCGATCCCATCTGTCAAAACCAACTCATAAATTTTGTATGCGTGTTCGTGACTAGGATAAATATTTTCCGCGAACACGGCGGCAGATGCAGGTTTTGTGCTTTGATCAGAAATTTCTTTGAAATTTGTATGATCATTCATGTCGGTTTGCCGGCACCGGTGGTGTAGTGGTAAGCGTGACTGCTTTCTAACACCCCGATGGGTCTGGGTTCAATCCTAGCCGAGGTCGGTGGGATTTTTCTGAGGCATAAAAATCTCTGGTCACGTCTTCCTTCGGAAGGGAAGTAATGCCGTTGGTCCCGGCCCATGTGTGTGTTGAATGGGTGCGATATCCTACGCAGATGTGGAAGCTGCCTTCCTGCACATTCGATTGCCGTCAATGGATGGCAATCGATGCCCGTTGGAGATTGGCACTAGATTGCGGAACAGAGACCGACGTTAAATAAAGGAAATAATAATAATTCATGTCGGTTTGTCGGTGGTAAGATTATCATTATTTTTTCTATAAACTCGCATATTATTACAACAATATGCAAAGGAATATGATGTTGGTTTAAATTGCAATAAATTACAGAAATAATGATAATAATTATGGGAGGTTGAGCGGTGAATGACGACATAACGTTTCTTGGGATTTATTATTTTACAGTTATAAAAAAATTAAAGGGTTGTGTCCTAGACACGACCGCAGTATGACGTAGAACATATAGATCTATGATATCTATGATGCATGATATATGCATTTAGGTTAGAATCCGACGTTCCTCCTTTTTTACTTATTTTGCAGAAAAAATACATCCGAAGTCCCTCCTTATTTACATATTCTGCACAAAACATGCTTTCTAAGCCGCGCAACTGACAGAATTTCCCGCCGTTTTTTTTATGAATGGGGCGAAGCAGAAAGTTTCTTTTGTGCAGAATATGTAAAAAACGATGGACTTTGGATGTTAATATAATTGCATATATAGAGGTACCAGATATGTTTTACAGTCAGTTGTTGGTAATTCATCGATTGATTGATTAATCTTTTTTAGGGAGGCTTTCAGCCTGGGGCTGGTTCGCCTCCACCGGTAATTCATCGAGTGTATGTCTCCTGTTAAGCATTTTTTTTTGAAAATGTTGGCTCTGCATGTAAAAAAATTAATTGTTTATACATAATTGTGGTTTGCTTAAAATTTATTTCCCGGAAAAAATGATCGTCAAAGTCCACGTCTTTTTCGGGTTATGTTGAGGGGGGAGGGGGTTTTACATGCACGTTTTTCAAATCTCATTCCTCATTGTGGTGGACACGCCGTGATCCACCTTCAGCCGCTGACTTAGTCCTGCTTGCTGCGTCCGAAGCGGTAATGAGCAGAGGCAGTTTTAGTTAGTTTAAATGATCTTTATTTTAGTTTAACTTGGACGATTACCATATAAATTTTTACTAAGTGATTTAATTGCTTTCTTCATCTTTAGGTATGGGCAAAATTCAAAATTTGTTTTACAGAATTAGTCCTAGACTTAGTACACGGTCGACCACCTTGGTGGGATTGGTTTGTTTTGTTTTTAGAATTTGAAGAGAAACTACTTAATACTACTATTTACAGCTTAAAACTAACCTACTCTACTATTTACACTTAACCTACTATGTACAAATTGCTTATTAAAGCATGTTCAGAAAGATTGCATTTTTGAACAAATTTAGTTGTCATATCATCAATTTTGGAATCTACTTTGGGAATTTCTGCCTCTTGATGGAGGTCTGCTATTCTTGTGTCGAATGGACGATCTAGGATCATCCTCAACACTCTATTCTGTGCAACCTGGATTTTGTTCCTGTGGGTCTGAGCGCACAATTCCCACACCGGGGCGGCATAGAAGATCGCGGGGGCTATGATCTGTTTGTAAACAGCCAGTTTGTTTTGCCTTGAGAGGCGGGATCTGCGGCAAATGAGCGGATACAAACACCTAACCAAGGCGGAGCACTTAACTAGGGTTTTCTCTATGTGCGAGCGGAACAGGAGCTTCTCATCGAACAACATCCCGAGATAAGTAACATCAGTGGACCACTCGACCCTTGTACCATCCATTATTACGGTACAGGAGGGAGACGGTTTAAGTTTTGGCGATTGTCTGTGAAGGAACATGATTGCTTGGGTTTTCAAGGGCGTTGATTTTGATTTTCCACGTGGTGGCATAATCAGTAAAGGTGTCAAGGCATCGTTGGAGCTTGTTCGTAATTTCACGAGGCATCCTACCCTTGACGGCTATCGCGGTGTCATCTGCAAACAGAAAGAACACGCAACCGTCTCCTAGAGGAGGGATGTCCGACGTGTAGATGCTGTAAAGCAGTGGTCCCAGCAGACTCCCTTGCGGAACACCTGCTGGGATCGGAAATTGTCCCGAAAGGGAACTATTCAACGACACCCTGAACGACCTTTGCTGGAGATAGTTACGGGTGATTTTCACAAGGTATGGTGGAAAGTTGGAGTTACAAAGCTTGTATATAAGTCCGTCGTGCCAGACATTGTCAAACGCCTTTTCGACGTCTAACAAGGCCATGGCTGTGGACTTGGATACAGCTTTGTTACTTCGGATGTTATTCATCACCCGCACTAGCTGATGATTGGTGGAATGCCCCTTGCGGAACCCGAACTGTTCCGGAAGAAGAATGTCATGTTCCTCCACAAACTTGTTTAGTCGGCTGAGGATCAATTTTTCGAACAGCTTGCTCAGCGCTGAGAGCAGGCTAATCGGTCTGTAGCTTGACGGTAGTGAAGGGTCTTTCCCAGGTTTGCGGATCGGGATGATTTTTGCCACCTTCCAGATGCTTGGAAAGTAGTGCAGCTCCAAGCATCTGTTGAGGATGGCAGCCAGCAGCGAGTGCACCCTCGCGCTGAGATTTTTCAACTCTAGGTTGAATATTCCGTCAAACCCGGGAGCCTTCATGTTCGTACTGTGTTTCAGCGCTGAGCAAATTTGTTCCTCTGTAATCCGTTCTTCTTGTGGAGCAGAGGCAGGAGAGCAGCGCTGATTTATATCTTTTCAGGTTCAAGCAGAATGATGTGCAACCAAGTGGTATTAGTTTATGATGGCTGGGTTTGGGAAAAAGGCTTATTTCATGAAAACAGTGATAAAATTATCATTTGTACATTTTGAAAAGTTTAATTACAGAAAAATTGGAAAACATATTTATTTCAGCAGGTTTGTAATGTAATATCCTATCGATTGGCGTATTTGGATTTTAATTTCATTTATAAATGACAAAGCTACAAGCGTTCAAAACCTAACACTCCTTCACCACATATATTTTTTTATTTGCACCCCAGTTTAGTCGACAAAGACGTAGTTCTACGTCAAAATATCAAGATTTATCAAAAACATCATATACCCTACTGTTACATATACAATTCATAGGGGGATCCAAGAGGATGCCTAATGATTTTTCAAATAAAGTTCCTCAATGTTTTGTTAAGTTTTGCTGTTTTCATTACCATTTTTTCAAGTATGTGCATTGGGGTGGGTCAACTTTACCAACCCTGATCCTAACTGCTCTTTCAATGCGTATTGAGTGTCGTGACCGGACCGAGATTTCCAGCTTCGGCCACGGCTACACGAATTAGCGATGCAGCTCCCACGGGTGCTGCTGCTGTTTCTGCTGCTGCTACTTTTGTTGCTGCTGGTGGTCCGTCACCTCCAAAATTCGCACTTTCTATAGCTCGTATACGAGCTAAGATAGCCCGTATTTATCTTCTTCTTCTTATTCGCATTTCAAGCTTATTGCTTAGCGCATATTAACTTATTGCGTGCTCTCAACTTAGTGTTCTAAATGCACTTCCACAGTCTGTACTCCATTTTCACCCTATAACTTCGCCAATTAAGATATAGAAAATTTTCGATTTTGACAAAGTGTCATAAAATGACTTCGTTTGCAATGTTTCCATAGATGTTCGTCAATTTTAACAAGACATAAAAAAAATATTTTTTTACCTGAGTGTAACCAAATGTTTCACTACTCCAATAAAGTACTCAAAACATGAAGAATGTTTCGTCGCAAATAGCCATGTCCACTATATCTGTATGATTGACATCGTCCTACAGTGCAACAATATTTTTGTTTGTTTGGATTTTTGTTTTTTTTTTTTATATAGGGGAATTTACGTATTCTCGTCAATCTAAGCAGCGTCTGCACTGCTACTAGCATTTTCTCAGCGTCACGCACATATATGATGTGTCTGTATGTTTACATTCATCTGCTGCTTGCTTCTCTATCCATTCCAATCGATAGAATTTTTCAAAACGTTTTGAAAGCGTTTTTACAACGCTCCAAACTTCTCAGGTGAGTGTGACTATTGTCGGCAGCCTCTTTTTCTTCGGCAACCTTCCCATTAGAACTGCGTGTTAACAAGCTGTTCTATTATCGGCAACTCGAAATCAACCCCATTTTGTAGTGCGTATGCTTTATTTGAAGAAAAATGTAGCATTACTGGATTGCTCGATCGTTCAAATATAATCAGATTGAAGCTGAAAGGCTAAACAATCGTTTGAACACATTCAGGGAAGTGCGTTGATGGGAAA